TTTTTTTTTTTTTTTTTTTTTTTTATTATTATTATTGCACCGAACGTAAACGCGAGAAATCGTTTCTCTCCGTTTCCCTTCCGTCGTGTCCGTTTCCAAGTCTCCGCGGTCGGAACTAACGGCACTTATTATTATTTGGCGTGGCGAGGAAGGGAATCGCTCTCGTCTAAATGATCGAGCCGAAGCTCGAGGATCGTGATCGTCGCAAAGGTGCGTCGAGGTGAGAGAAGAGAACGACGAGGAAATTTTCGAAAAAAAATGGCGGAAAACGGAGGGGAAACGCGTGGACGGGCTCGGATCCTTTCCATCCTTTCGATCCATTCCGATCCGATACAACGAGGCTCCGAGCCTTGTTTTCTTTCTCTCGCGGATTTCGAGGTAACACGCGATGGCTCCAGATGTCCAGCGGCGTGAAACTGGCTTTGTACTCTGTTCCCATGTCGAGAGTTTCACGATGGGAAAGCTCGAGCGCGCTCGAGGAAATATTCTAACGGGTATTGCCGGGGAATCACGAAACGTAATTCGGTCGAAAGAACCTTTGTCCGATCTGTTTCGTTCGATTAATCTTCCCGTTTCATTTATTTATTAATTAATTCTCGCGTCCTTTAAAATCTTGAAAAATTCGAAATAAGAATAATTTAAATTTTGAAAGATACAAGTAACGATTTGTACACGTAAGTGAATTCCGTTCTTCTGAAATTAAATTATGTTAATATAATTTAATTTTCATGTATTTTATAAATGAATAAAATATTCGGAATGGAATGCAGATAAAATATACATCAAATCAAAATTGTTTCGTAATCGTAATGAATGCGATAAGAAACATCGTGTTAATCAACTGTTATGAAATTCATATCATTCGAGTGAATAAAATCTTAATAAATAAAAAAAAAAAAAAGAAAGGAAAAAAACCGCATTAAGCATAGCGTATACAATATACGATCAAGTTAATCAGATTAATTGCTTTTAAGGATAACAAATCTAATTTCATTTACGATATCCTATTATAAATTATACACAATTACCCGGAATTATCTAAAATGATTTTACAATTATCATTTTAAATTATCATTGCAATTATACGCGTACGAGTTCCGGCCGACGATACACGATTTGTTAAAAACAAATCGGTGATCGATCGAACGATGAAAAGCGGAAAAGAGATCGATCGAAAAAAATCGAGGTTCTTTCGACGCAGCTTTCACGAAGTTTCACGAATCCTCGGGTGCACGTCGAGGCGGTGGCATCTCCGAGGAGGGGGCGAAAAAAGAAGGCAGAATCAGGAAGTAAAGGGAGCGTGCAAGACCGCGTTCTCATGAGACGACCATTGTTGCACCGACACGAGGATTTGGGTCAGGCGGTGGGGCACACCGGCCCTCCCAGTTTCCCCTGCAAACCGCAAGCATCGTTTCTTTTTCTTTTTTTTTTTTTTCCTGCGGTTTCGTGGCGTCTCTTCGAAAGCTAGGCTACATCGGTATCGTCGTCGTGATGGCAAGATGGCAAAGGGTGAGCCGGCATGGCCGACGGGTTTTTACGGGGTAAAAACAGCGTAAAACCATGAAAATTCGTTCTCTTCCTCGATTCCGATACGATCGAAAATTATTTAGATTCGAGAATTACGAACAGAGGGTTAATATCGAAAGAAAGAGAATTTGTTCGACAACGAGTTGAGTTGGGAGAAAGATTTCGATCACGAGATCATCGCGAATGACAGATGTTTCAACGTTTCGTCCGTGCCCATTTTCGAGCAACTCTTTTCCACGAATGTTTCGTTTTTCTTCTTCGTTTTTTCCCTCCCCCTCCTTTTATTTTTCTTTCTTCCTCGTTCCTTTTTCACGAATTTAATGAACCGGCGCACTTGTCAGAACTGTCCGCCGCGACGTCGACCGGGATAATGATTTTTTCCATCCTGGCTCGGGTGCACGGCCTCGGGTTTCGTGGTAAATCGCGCGTATCTCTTCGTGTCCTCCGCTCCTTTTCGGAGGAGGGTCCCCTCGGTTAGGTTGCTTCATCCGGAAAGGAGGGGACCGGTGATTACACCGCGCCACCGTGATTGCCGAGATCGTTTGACTCACGAAAATGTCATTAGGATTTCATTACTTCCAACCGCCTTGAGGAACGACCGTTTCTCGGCGACTCGAGAGACTTTGTGCAACGTTTCTTTCTCTCCCCTTAATTCCCTTTCTCTCTCTTTCGCCGCCTCCTCTCCTGTCCACTCTGTTCGTCCCTCTCGCTTCTGTCCTCTTTCCTCCCGTCCGCCTCTCCCTTCTCGCTCTTGCCTCCGTTTCGTTTCGCCCGACGAGATCCAGCTTCCAGATCACGAAGTGGGTCAGTCGCCTCGGTTGGCCAACTGTCGCGAGGGATCGACCGATCTAACGTCATCGACCGCCAGCCACCGGATTGACATTTACGATGGAAACGATGGGCTTCATCCTCTACGCGGCATTCTCTATTGTATTTCTTCAGAACGCGGCGAAGAGATCTAGAGATGATCCCGCTGGTGAACATCCTTGCCCCTTGTCGTCGTCTCCCCGCCATTTTCACGGGGAGATCGATCGCTATCTCGACATTTAACGAACCTGTCGGAAATTGTCCCCGCGCCATCCTTCCAAAATCCTATCCATAATTACATCAGATCGATCGATCGATCGCCACCCGAATCTCTATTTTCGATTCCGCGCGTTTCCAAGATCTCGAGAGAGGCTTTCCGATCGAGGAGATTCCACGCGTAACCATTGCGCGCGCGATCTTTCGCGGCCGCCCCTTCCACGATTTTCACAGGTGAAACGATACCGAATCCACTCGAATCGCGCGCCTATTCGTGCCACTCGCGATCATCGCAACATCGTCCGTGATTCCTCCGTGACGATTCCTCAACGAATATATATATATATATATTTTTTTTTTTCCAACGTAGCGACTTTCGAATTTGAGTTTCTCGACGTTCTCGACGTCACCGCGATCGATTCCGTGTCGGATCAACGGACGCGAGGAATTTGATTTTACTCGTAAACCGACGGACGGGCCCAAAACGTGAGGGGCCGCAAAAACCGGCCGATATGAACACGCGGCTGTCGTTACAAGGAATGGAAAACGTTTCTTTTTTTTTTTTTTTATTAACATCGAATTCCATCCCGACAGGTGGTGTACGTATTCGCACTTTGGGGCAGGGGCGCTGCCACGTCCGCGCCGCTACGAAGAAACAGTTCCTCCTGAACACAGCTCGAAGGACATCTTCGTTAAACCGCCGGCCACACCCTGAAAAAATACGAGAGACGAACGAGCCATTAGAACCCAACCCTTCGAGCCATCCAGAACGGGAATCGAGGGGAGGGGAGGGACGGTGGGTCGTTTCCCGTGCGATTTCTTTGCTTCCTTCGTATCCCAGGGTTTAATCGTGGTACCTTCTATCTCCGTGCGGATGATTGGAATTTCATCATACGTCGATTCAACGTTATTATTTTTAGAGTTTAACACATCTTTATTTCAATAAAGAACGAATATATATTCCATTTCTTCTAAATTATATCGTGTATTTCGATTACAATTAGGAGTTGGAATTTCTCCTCCAATCTCTAAATTTCTCCACATCTATAAAAAGAGTTATCGCGTATCCTCGTTGATTCAATGGAAATATTATAAGGAACCGATTTCACAGCGAAACGTTACGTTTGAAGAATTTACTCAAGAATCGAATAATACTAACACTATCTATACATTAATCACGATACAATCTTCTGCAATTCTACAATTCGTTTCGAGAAACCGAATGTTATTAATATTTTATAAACGTATATTTTCATTAAAAAAGAAAATCTTCGCAAAGAAATTCGAGGAATTCGGAAACGACCAACGATTCGACACGATTCTATCCGTTCGTTTGTTACAAACACCCCACCCGATCTTAATATATTCTATTTCTTCTATTTTCTGAATACATTCCATTTCTTCTAAATTCGCGACAATCGTTTCTCGAACGCCCTCGACCAGTGCCCTCGAGAGAAAAAGTGTCACTTACGTGAGTAGTCCGGGATTAGGATCCGCTTGGTACCACGAGTACTGTGGCATGTAGCCCGCGTGGTGCGGCGGCGGCGGCGGCGGGGGTGGATGGTGGCCAGGCGTGTGGGGGTGGTGGTGGGTGTGCGGTGGCGCGTGCGGATGCGGATGGTGCTTCATCTCGCCCGGCCAAGAGGGTGCGGGCGGGCTCTCGTTGTGCTGAGGCGACATCTCGCTTCCGGGGCTCGAACTGCCGGGGGTGTGACCCCCCGCGCCGCCTCCCATGCCGCCGAGGTAGCCTGTCGTCGGACTGCCCGACACCGAACTTCCGCCTCCTGAAAACGGTAACGGAGAACGGGTTCGAGATCGATCCTTCTCCTTCGGATATAGACTTATCTTGCGCGGAGGAGGGGGAGGGAGAGGGGAGAAGGGGAGGGATGATCCTGATGGGGGGTCGTTTGGATTGATTTAACGGATTGGGAGGAAATATTCGCGAGGATCGATCTGGAAGAACTGAGAAGGGGGTGGACGGGGGAGGGGTTGTAGGTCTTTTGTAGGGGTGGTTGGAAAAGAGTGGGAAGAAAAGAGTGGGGATTGATTTGCGAGTATTTATGGAGGATAACGGAGGAGGTGGAAGGGGGAAGTGGAGTAGATCTATCTAGAGGGGGGGACAAGTTGATTCGTCGATAAATAAATATTTTGTAAATCTTTGGAATATAAAGATGATCGATGGAGGAGAGCGAGTTGATATTCGAGGATGTGGGTGGCTCGAGGAAGAAAGTAGATCGATCGATGGAAGGATTTATAGGAATAAGTTAAGAAAGAAAAGGAAAAAGGATTGCTTAGAATCTAGATCGGAGATTTCAGAAAGTTCGTTAGCGATTCATCGGAACCAGTTGTATCTCGAAGTCTAGACATGCGGATGAGCAAGGTTGTCGAGCTGTTACGTGCCAGTGGCGATTCCATCTTTAATTGATTTATATCTTCCGATCCGATATTCGTGAATTACATTCGTGTCGCGAGAAGATAACAGCTGCGCGGAATTTTTTTCTTTCTTTCTTTTTTTTTTTTTTTTCTCTCTCCGACCTGATTAATCCGTTCACGTTCAACGCACGTAAAAAAAACGTTCGTCTCGTTAAGTTCGAACTATCCGATCGAATATCGATCCGAGAACCGATACCGAACCGAATATTTTCGGTCTCATTAAAGGTATATAGAAATCGCGATCAGATTCGATCCTCGAGACACGAATATACATACGAATAATAATTAAACGCTTCTCGAACGTTGCGTGGATTATCCACTCAAAACGATCGAGATAACCACTTTCTCCACGTACGAGACACCCCTCCGTGTACGCACCTCCTTGCATGAGACTTCCGGGTTGACCCGGTTGAGGGGATGGCCCCCCTGGTAGTGCGGTTCCACCGGCCAGGAGGCTACCGTGCTGCCCTCCGCCACCACCGCCGCCCTGCTGCGCCGCCTTCATCATCTTCTTGTACTTACTTCTTCTATTCTGGAACCAGATTTTCACCTGCAACAAAAATCGAACGGATCAGGTCAGGTGAAACTCGTTTCGCGAGTTGTCAGTGGAGTATTGGCGAACGAGACCGAAACGATGACGGGGGGCGAGGAGGGGGAGGAGTAAAAACGGGAGTTTGCACGGGGGAGGGGGAGGACGAAGGGGGGCGGGCATAGGTAGGTAGGTAGGTAGGTAAAGAGGAGGAAAAACAAAACAGAGAGAGAGAGAGAGGCTGCAACGTCGCAACCGAGGTTGATGTACTATTTAACGTGGACCGAGAGACGCTTGTGCGCCGCGTACGTACAGAGACCGGCAATTTTCACTGTCTCTGTTTGCCGCTGTCCTTCCGCCCGTCAAACATCCGATAATTACAGAGCCCGATATGAATTTCTGCGAGTACGCACCGACCGTAATGATACACGCTTGTTCGCTTGGCATACGTATATATATATATATATTTTGCGAGAGGGACAAGCACGTAGTCTGCCACGGTTTTATCTGGATACAGCGATCGGTTGTATCGACGAAGGATACGTGTGCGCATTTGTGATTCTCGATCGGATGCAACTAACGTCGCTGGCTAACGTCGAATACAACGATAACGACGTCGAATCATCGTCGCGCTACCGGGTTTCGAATCGAGTACGGAGGAGGGGGAGGAGGAGGGGGAGGAACGAGAGAGGGAGGGAAATAGGGGGAAAGAGAGAAGAAAGAGAGGAAGGGGAGTGGGAGGGGGAAAAAAAGGACGTAAGAAACTGCTCGGTTTCGTAACTATCGTTTCTTTTGCCTAGACGCGGCGCACGAGGAACGTCGAGTTCGGCTTGTGCGACGGATACTAATGCGCCGGTGCCGCTCTTACGATTGCACATACGGTGTTCTTTTTTTTTCTTCTTTTTTTTTTTCTTTCTCTTTTTTTGTTCCTTGGCGCGATCTATACGCGAGCCGCGTGCACGTGACGCGGTGCTCAATCTTACGTAAGCACGGACTCGGCTTAGGCGAGCGGGAGAGGAAGGCGGGAGAGGGAAGGTTTCGTTTGCGAGTACGATGTAAATGGCAAGCGTTAACCCTCGGACCAGGTTGAAGAGAAAAGAATCCAGGAAGCGGAGGATCGGCTTTTTCAACCGGTCAACGTTTCCTTTAATTCGCTCCTTCTTTTGGGGGAAATCGAGAGTTGGTTACTTTGTATGCTAATTCCTCGCTTCGGGGGACAAAACGTAACGGATGTCGGAGAACGTGAATAATTGCACCAACCCTTGCACGATCTGGTTCTCTCTCGTTCGTTATTGAATTTTTCGCATCGTCGATAACGCGTCGCAAATTACAAACTTGTCGATTCGACGCTATTTCATCATGGTGATATCGTGGAGATGAAATTTCTTCTCAAAATTTTAGAAAGAAAGTTTATAACTCCGTGAGACAGATTGATTTTAGGATAATTTCCAACGCAAACAAAATGCATCTCGCTTCCCTCGTCGCGTTTATAGAATTTAGGAAACTCGATACCTCCCTCTGAACGTAATTGAACGTTCAACCGTACACCGCAATTTCCTTTACATTTCCTTCCCTCCCGTTACATATTAATCGAAGAAACTGTACCCTTCTTATCAATCATCGCGAGAGAGGAAGATCCAGAACTCCGTGTATCCTCCGTGTCAACCCTCGAACGTTGCGTAACCGACGACCGAGCCGGACTTGGTGAGCTTAGTCCACGACTTTTTACGCCTTGGGCGTCAATCAAAAACCGTACGGTTACTTTAATTAACTAAGTCGGCTCCGTGAAGCACGGAGCCGGAGGGCAGCGGTTGGACGAGGGAGGCAAGGCGGAGAGACGGCTAGAACGAGCGGGAGCGAACGAGAGGAGAACGAAAAGAGGGGGAGGGCGTCGTCACGTCAAAACGAGTTCATTAAAACCGCAGCTCGGCTTCGTTCTAACCTCGAAAGAAACGCGCCACATCGTGGCCGGCATTGTTTCGCGTTTTGTAAGCCGGAATCGGTCCGTTGAAACTTGCGCTCCGTCCATCAACCGTGTATATAATGCACACTGTGCATACACGCGAGGCGTGTACACAATCGAGGCTATGCGTGTCGCTGGTGCACGTGCACCAGCGTTATATGGTACAAAATGGCCGCCACTCGGTGCACGTTGGACGAAAAGTACACGTTGCGCGCGAACAACCGCGAGATTCTTCTCCATAAGCCGCCTCTTATTGGGGAGCGTGTGCCCGGCGTGCCGGCGCAAATAAATCTCTTTCTAATTGCTCGATGAAAAAGTGGAGCGTGCTTGGACGGCGCAGGAGGATGGCGCCCGACAAAGGGGCCAGCGCTAAAACCTCATCCAAGAATGGTTTATTTCGCTGTCGGCCTCTGGATCCTCAGTATTCGCTTTGTTTATTGATATTTACAACCATCGTGACACACGCGGTATACGAAGAAGAACAAGACGAAGAAGACGAAGAGGAGAAGGAAGAAGAGGAGGAGGAGGAGGAGCAGAAGGAAGGCTTTTAGGGGACGACGGTGTGGTGACGCTTTTGTACGGCGAGATATTCGCTCGCGAGTTACTACTGCGAGTCCTTTTTGCCACACAGTCCACGCGATATCTCGTCGTCATGGTTTGCGACGCAGGTGTGGATTCCTCCTGGTTTCGAAGGGATGACGGTGTTCTTCTGCGCGGGGGAAACTCTTGTAGACCGATCGAACGAGACGAGTTCTGGTTAAGCAGGACTCTTTTCATCTACGAGTAAATGAAGTATGCTCTCTTCAAGAGAGAGCACTTTCCGACATCGATTATCGTAATCAGGCTAGCCACACGGATGCGGCGGGACATCCGGACGGCAGCAAGAATTCTGACAAAAAACGCACGGGCCGCGGTTTAAAATGTATGCAAATGCGCGTGACGAGTCGGCACCGCCTCGCGATGGAATACGTAAGTATACGAAGGGCGGAGGAAGAACAAGAGGACGATGAAGAATAAAAAGGAACGAGGCGAAGAGGAGGAAGAAGAAGAGAAGAAGAGGAGAAGAGAAAGAAGAAAAAGAAGAAGAAGAAGAAGAAGAGGCGGCGTGTGCGGAGCGGACATAACGCCGATGGCCACTGGAACGGCACGGTGGCAAGCTGCTGTTATCTCTTTCCCTCCAGCATCCCGAGCAACGTACAAACGCGCGTGCACCGGCTGCTGCTGGTCTGTGTGCGTGGTTTTACGCAGCCACTTGGAATGGCCGCCCCGTGTGCGAGTGCAAAAATTACTCTCCTCCTGCGGTGGCCGGTGGTCGCGCGAACCTTTCCACGGGGGGAGGAGGGAGGAGAGGGGCGGGAGACGACGTCGTCGCTGGCGTCGTTGACGTCGGACCAGCAACGGCTTCCGACGTGGCCCCCGGCGGAAGCCGCTCCGGTAACAGCCCCCGCCTGTCGATATCGCCGATGCATACTCAATGAGCGACAGATCGTCGCCTCGGGGTGAAGGGGCGTTGGGTATATAGAAGACGGAAAGGGGTACAGCGGCAGCACCAGCAGCGGCACCAGCACCAGCAGCCGGGACAAGGTTCCAGAGTAAAAAAATACGGCAACGTTTCGCCTGCGTGAATCCCCGCGCGCGCGCGCCGCCTGTTTAATATTTATGAGAGAGGCATCTAGGAATAATCTACGTCTAAATGAAAACGCTCCCACCGATTCCGTGCCGCGATCTCCGAGAACACTCTCTCTTTCTCTCTCCCTCTTCTTGCATTTCTTGGCCCCAGCTGTTGTGCCAACAACTGGATGGATCGTCCTTAGACGCTTGATCCGCGATTAAATTATTCCTGCTTTGTTTGGTAAAGGTTTGTTGTTTTCTTTTAAATTTCAAATTTCGTTCTAGACGAGAGAAAACGAGTCGCAGAATAGAACGGTTAGAATATCTATTATAGTTTTTTTTTTAATATGATTGCATCTCGGATCGATATCGAAAAGGAAAAAAAATTGCGCGGCAAAGAATCATGCGTCTGACCAGTCACCGAACAGTCCTAATTCTACTGCGAGTCTAGGATTCTACCGCGCAAAGTTTCCAACCATCGTGTCTATCTGTGCGCACATACACGCGCACAGCTCTCGATATTCGTCACTGAGTGATGTGTGTCAGCCGTGGATACCGTAATTGATGCTTGCAAAAATGTAGTCCTTGACTTGATAATACAAGTCGATAGCGGCACGCCGTTTCAGCGCAGTTTTGCTAACTGTAGTTACAACCTAGTTATACAATGGCGGGACGTATGGACGATAAAACTTTCGGAAGGTTTCGAAAGGTTATGGTAATGCGAACGTAAAAACGGAGAAGTTCCGTTGCATCTGACTCACGCGCTTCCTTGGGAAACGTCGGATCGTATCGTTCTAAAGCCGAGCTAAACTAGATACCAAATTTATTTCTGTGTATCCTCCGGGAAACGTTATCTCCTTTCCACGTAATAATCGCCGCTCCAACTTTTATCTTCTCTCTCCGTCCTTTCTTTTTTTTTTTTCTTTTCAACGATATAATATAACGTGGAATTAAAGAAATCCCAATTTTTTTCATTTTACATATATGTATAAATATATACGTATAAATATGGTAGTTGTGGAGTGAAATGTTAGATTAAAAAAAAAAAAAAAAAAAAAATACGTAAATGATGTATTAAGGAAGCTTTCCAATAGATTTCGCGTCATAGAAAAGTCTACTATCTATTCCATTAACGGTCTAGACTGTATCATTCCTCGAATAATCGAAACGGGGGCTGGACAATTAAACGCAATTAGTCTAATGGTGGCCGCTGCGTGAGCAATAACGCGATATAAAACCAATAGAGATGGCTGGAAGTCATAATTTCTCTGGCTATTGATAAGGCCGCACGCGGCCTGATATTGTTCCACGTTTTTAACACATTCCGTTTGACCAACGGCCACGATGTTTATCTACGTATAATTACTTTGTTTTTCGAATAAAACTCATCGGGAAACCAGTTTACAACTGTGCTGTATGCAACGCGATATTGGTCGAACACCAATAA